CTAGCTAAATTCTAATTAAAATCTTACTTGGTGTAATGTCGGCGTCCACAAGTCTTCTTAAAACCACGTAAAAAAGGCAAAAAACACAGAAAAAAGGCAAAAAACACAGCAGAAACAAGAGCAAAGAGCGCACACGTCCGTCCGGCAAGCGAAAAACGTGCAAAGTGACGCAAAATCGTGTTGCAACAATACGCGTTTCCATAGAAACGGCAATTGTTGCGAGATTAGAAAGCTCGCAACGAATTCGAATGCGATTGACGTCACGGATTCTTTTTGAATTTTAAGGCTAAATATCTGCATTTTTCACGTTTCTATCCCCCGAGTGACGACGGATTGGGATCGAGACTCTCCCTACCGCCCTCCGCCTTCGGTTTCCATTCTCCACAAGGGGTTAGAAGCGAGATTTTCTAAAATCGAACGTCATCTTTACCTCGCCACCCCCAAAACTAGAAGAAATCCTCCCTCTCCTTCGTCCGGTATTTTCCGACCAAGTTTCCGATTGACCGACAGCGCAATTTTTACTGAATTTCGTAATATTTCGTTTATCCGACGCCATTTTAAGAGCGCTTACCTGACGTCATCGGTTATATTAAATATGCGTGTTATAGTTTAGTTACGTAAACGTTAATTAGTATATTAAATAAGCAAATTTTATGAATTCACCCGACCGATAGAAAATATCGTGTATGTATTTTACACGAAACAATCAAATATAGATCTTTCTATATTCAAACTGAGAAGAAGATCGTTCGTTTCAAGAAATGTAACTGTTTTTTATTTAAAAAAAATCTATCAATAGCAACTAACAAATTCGAATTTAAAACGGTTCGAACATTTGGTTAAAAAATCGAAATATATAAGAATATTTATCACAATGTCTGAAATGAAATGCTCTCTCTCTTTCCACCGCGGGAGAATTTCGACAAATTTCTTCTTAGTGTGCGTTGCCATGACGTACCCTAACTGTGTACAATATTTCACCTGTTTAGGTTCAGCGGTTTGCTCTGGGCGATGATGAATCAGTGACTCAGTCAGTCAGTCAGGACAAGTAATTATATATATAGTATTTAGATAATTTTATAAAACATATATCGAAGTTGAAGTATGACTAAATATTTAATTTAAACACATCACATCCTATTTTCCGAGCATTAACTATTTAAAAATCTTCCTCCTGATCGGAATTTTCAACTCTACAATCTTCTTGTCTACAACTGTCTGTCTTCATTTCGGATGATTTTATTGCGACTTCATTATCCAAATCAGAACCATTGCGTTTCTCTACTAAAATACTTGTCATCAGTACACTCAAGACGTTTCGATAGAGAAATAATGAAAGATTATTAGAAACTGGAGCGAAGCAGAAGATCAGGAATAACATCTGAAAAATAATTTCTTGAATGTGAAACGAATAGAATTCGGCGTGAAGTACAAGGTGGTCATAATTAAAGTTTCTCTATTCAGAGCACTGTGTAGCTATAACCAATAAGCGAATTGACACCAAAATTTGTATACACATAGAAAGGACGCAGAAAGAGATTTTGCAAAAAGATTTTTAATTCAAAAATCAAAATATCCGTTGGAGCACTTTAAAGGAAAAATACACTAAAAACAACTAAAAATGAATTTATTTGTTCCGTAAAGGACATGCCTTCTACAGAGGCTATTTATTGCTGTCAGTAATGTTATTCTATGTGTGTCCCGTTGTTCAGGTATAAAATTTGAAGGCGATGAACAATATGTCCTACAACTGATCGTAAAAGTCGTTCGCATCTCTTACGAAGCGACGCTTTTTCGTTTGCATCCTTGCCCACACCGAACGAGAGGATCCCACTCGTTGGAAAAGGGAGGAATGATCGAAATATTCCTCCCCTCCCAGTGCGTCAAAGATGATGTCGTCAACATGGAGACATTTCACTTTTCGGAACACGTCCGAATGGCGAAATGTCTTCTCTCCGTTCAACGCGGAACAGAGAATGATGTCGACATCTGCTATTCCTGAAGGCGATCCCGTGAAGAAAAAACCCCTTCCGCGATCGATGGAAGAGAGTTCCTCTCCCCGCTCAAAGGGGGAAAAGACCCTCTCTTCATCGATTGCGGAAGGAGAACGCCCTTCACACTTCTTCATCTTCTTGGGCCGCAGCCAACGCCAAAACCGCCAGCTCTTCATTCTGTAAAGAAACAAAAAAAATATATATATATATATATTAATGGGATGCGGCTATACTTAACGCAGAAAAAGCTCAAGATTATACTCACGTCGGATCGGAATTCGTGTAACTCGCGTTAGACCCTACCGGAAATTGCTAGAAGGTTCCAACTGCATTTGCAGTAGAGACGACCGACCCGGAACGAATAAACTCTCTTGCGTGTAATTTGTATTTATTTGTACGACAGAAAAGTAAAGACAAGACAGAAAAGTAGCCATGCGCAAAAGGCACTCGTACTCGATCTCGAGCCCAAGTCGTAACGAGTGTTTCGTTCTAGAGCAATTTACCCTAACGTGCGTCACCTAACCGCAACGATGGCATTTAAGAGAGTTTCGTGCGAAGAAATTCCGTACGAGAGTCGACGAAAACACAAGACGTGCCCGCAGCCGGGACACGAACGTTTAAGTGGCACAAAGCATTTGCAGAGGGTTACGTAAGTGTGGAAGATGGACTGCACTCGGAAAAGACCGCGTTGTGGAAAGAGACAAACAGCTTAAGGAAAAGAATTCTTTGTGTCCAGCCTGTATAGATAACTGTTAAGTGTATTAGATTGTGTTTTAAGTCGCACAGCTGCAGACAATTTAATTCTCGCAAAGTAAGCCATTGAAAAGCGTTGTAACTAATACGTAGATTCAATGGAGAAGTCGGAGGTGAAAGGGCGAAATTTTTGACGTCCCGGATGTGTCGAAGGAACGTGTCATGCTTCAGAATGCGGTCTCCGTGTATCCTTCGGTCCATCCGGTTTCGAGTGTATATTTTAGTTAAAATTACGATACGCAATTCGTATTTAGAGTTAGTATTAAATAAGTTTTAATCGAATTTCTATAAATAAGATATTTGCAAATAATCCTTATTCTTTGACCGTGTTTATAAAATATAATCTAAATTAATTAATTACGAAAATAAACCAATGAACAAATACTTAATCCTTTGCGTCCGTCGTTTTCGGCGCTTCGGTCGCTTTCCAATGTGGCGGCTGGTTTAAAAGTCGAAAGAGGTGCGTTTCGGATGGTAATTCAAACGAAAAACACAAGCGACGGCAGATTTAAACGCAAATATGCAAAGTCCGAGTCGGCCGATGTCGTCTCCGAAAGTTGGACTAAACGAAACGAAAATAAAATCTTACAGCTAGCTAAATTCTAATTAAAATCTTACTTGGTGTAATGTCGGCGTCCACAAGTCTTCTTAAAACCACGTAAAAAAGGCAAAAAACACTGAAAAAAGGCAAAAAACACAGCAGAAACAAGAGCAAAGAGCGCACACGTCCGTCCGGCAAGCGAAAAACGTGCAAAGTGACGCAAAATCGTGTTGCAACAATACGCGTTTCCATAGAAACGGCAATTGTTGCGAGATTAGAAAGCTCGCAACGAATTCGAATGCGATTGACGTCACGGATTCTTTTTGAATTTTAAGGCTAAATATCTGCATTTTTCACGTTTCTATCCCCCGAGTGACGACGGATTGGGATCGAGACTCTCCCTACCGCCCTCCGCCTTCGGTTTCCATTCTCCACAAGGGGTTAGAAGCGAGATTTTCTAAAATCGAACGTCATCTTTACCTCGCCACCCCCAAAACTAGAAGAAATCCTCCCTCTCCTTCGTCCGGTATTTTCCGACCAAGTTTCCGATTGACCGACAGCGCAATTTTTACTGAATTTCGTAATATTTCGTTTATCCGACGCCATTTTAAGAGCGCTTACCTGACGTCATCGGTTATATTAAATATGCGTGTTATAGTTTAGTTACGTAAACGTTAATTAGTATATTAAATAAGCAAATTTTATGAATTCACCCGACCGATAGAAAATATCGTGTATGTATTTTACACGAAACAATCAAATATAGATCTTTCTATATTCAAACTGAGAAGAAGATCGTTCGTTTCAAGAAATGTAACTGTTTTTTATTTAAAAAAAATCTATCAATAGCAACTAACAAATTCGAATTTAAAACGGTTCGAACATTTGGTTAAAAAATCGAAATATATAAGAATATTTATCACAATGTCTGAAATGAAATGCTCTCTCTCTTTCCACCGCGGGAGAATTTCGACAAATTTCTTCTTAGTGTGCGTTGCCATGACGTACCCTAACTGTGTACAATATTTCACCTGTTTAGGTTCAGCGGTTTGCTCTGGGCGATGATGAATCAGTGACTCAGTCAGTCAGTCAGGACAAGTAATTATATATATAGTATTTAGATAATTTTATAAAACATATATCGAAGTTGAAGTATGACTAAATATTTAATTTAAACACATCACATCCTATTTTCCGAGCATTAACTATTTAAAAATCTTCCTCCTGATCGGAATTTTCAACTTTACAATCTTCTTGTCTACAACTGTCTGTCTTCATTTCGGATGATTTTATTGCGACTTCATTATCCAAATCAGAACCATTGCGTTTCTCTACTAAAATACTTGTCATCAGTACACTCAAGACGTTTCGATAGAGAAATAATAAAAGATTATTAGAGACTGGAGCGAAGCAGAAGATCAGGAATAACATCTGAAAAGTAATTTCTTGAATGTGAAACAAATAGAATTCGGCGTGAAGTACAAGGTGGTCATAATTAAAGTTTCTCTATTCAGAGCACTGTGTAGCTATAACCAATAAGCAAATTGACACCAAAATTTATATACACATAGAAAGGATGCAGAAAGAGATTTTGCAAAAAGATTTTTAATTCAAAAATCAAAATTTCCGTTGGAGCACTTTAAAGAAAAAATACACTAGAAATAACTAAAAATGCATTTATTTGTTCCGTAAGGGACATGCCTTCTGCAGAGGCTATTTACTGCTGTCAGTAATATTATTCAATGTGTGTCCAATTGTTCAGGTTTAAAATTTGAAGGCGATGAACAATATGTCCTACAACTGATCGTAAATGTTTTTCAGGGATGTTTTTGACGTATAGTGTAATACAATTCTTTGTCTGCCAATGTTGCAACGTTTCTTTAATAAACCGTATGCCAAAACATCCCAGAGCTGAAATTTTTGAACACTTTTTAAAATCCTTTTCCACATCTTTGTTTAATCTGTATACAAATTTTTGTGTCATTTCACTTATTAGTTACAGCTACAGACTGCTCTGAATATAGAAACTAATAATGGCCACTCTGTATATAAGAACTTAGAGTGGTGTTTATCTTCATCAACCAATAATAAGGAATCGAAGTCATTACGGCATTAAATAAATTTTCAAACATATAAATTAATGCAAATATCACCCAATATGTCAGTATAATTTCTGTATCTCGTGGTGTTCCTCTTTGAATCGCATTCATTCTGCATTTAAATATTCTGTTACGTAAGAAACTACGAAATTCGAAAAAGTAAATACAGTACTCTACAATTAAAACTTATGAAGCGTAAATGGGATAGACGATCGATGTGAAAGTGCAGACAAATTCATTTCCATAACCAACTGCGGTGTATACAGCTAGTATAATCATTAAAACTGAATAATAATAAAAAGAATAATAATAAGAATAAAAGATTAATTCGAAATTAACAAAATTTACGATAAAGAAACGTACATTTGACGATGAAAAATCTGTTGCAGCCACATTTCTGCTCTAATTTGCCGAGAATTCTTGTGTACTTGTTGTTGGAATGCAATTTCATGGATATTCGGTTGAGCATTTCTACTAAAACTTCCATATTTTTCTATTAAACTTACATATGGCTAGTGTTAACCAAATTTTCTTTATAATCTGATAAATTAATTTAATTCAACGTTAATTTTAAAAGTTTAAAATTTAAAAGAAATTGAAATCTAAAAATATATACATGTTTCAGTTTACTATTCTATCGTAAGTTATTCCATATTGATTTTTTATAAGCCAAAAATAATAACTTACTTGCTTACCGAAGTTTACTTATAATCAAAATTCTCCGAATAATATCAAAAGAGAAAGCGAAAATGTAGAATATTATTGAATATTTCTATTTAAAGATGACGACGACAATAGAAAAATCGAACAATATATTCGAACAATTTGTTACTTTCGAACGTTCGATGTTCCTTACAAATACTTCATGAGTTATGTCAAAACGTTAATTGATCTGAAATATTTTACTTAAAAATTTAGAATAATCCCGTTTTTATAATAAATTAAAATTATAAAAATGAAATTTATATATGCCAAGTACTATCATTTATTCTAAAATAATGTTTTAAAAAATTCTAGAGTAAATAGAAATGTTGAGTCGGATTAGTCTAGAATCGATTAATTTTATGGAAGAACCTTTCAAACAGCCATAGTCCGTAAACTTGACACGTGTCGGGCTGTGATTGGAACGACTCGTAAGAAATCGGATTTTTAAAAAATAGAACGTATCTATGATCCTATGGGGGGGTCGACTGTAATTATTACATTATTTTTTATTTACCGCCTTAAAAGCGTAATTTTGATTAATCCTAGCTGCTTCTAAAAGCTTTTTATTTTTTATTATTTTTTCATAAAAGTTTTTACATTCAATTTTTATGTTACTTTTTTTATTTTTTATTTTTTAATACTCTTTTCCTCCGTTTTTTTTATTCTTTCCGCCCTGTGGGCACTAAGAGGGCCTCTTAAAGCAGGCCCATTATGAGTTCGGCCAGGCCCACAATGGTGCGACCGGCTGGTGAGGGACGCGGGCCGACATATCCGAATGGACCACCCCAGAAAAATTCCTGGGGATTTCTTGACCCGTTCGGATTCGAACCCGGGTCTCCCAGAGCGGTAGGCTGCCACCTTGACCGCTCGGCCATCCGGCCGCATATTTAGGATTTAATTATTTCAGTCGAAGCGGTAGGCTGCCACCTTGACCGCTCGGCCATCCGGCCGAATCGCTCGGCTAGCGTCTACATAGTCGCACCCTAACGCGAGAGCAAGAAATGACTCGCGTTTACGTTTCAAGCGCAGTTTTTCAGTGCATGCACAGCTTGAACTTTGAAGCATCATTCGAAATTCGAGGAAAATTTTTGTGGAATTTAGCATTCGAATTCTGAAGCGTTCGAAGAATCGAAGTACAAGGTACTACTGTATATACGCTATAACCAAACACACCAAAAATAAAGAGAAAAACGCACTGAAAACATGCGAACATAACACCAGAGCAAGACATTGTGTTTACGCTTCGAGCGCAAATGTTTGTCAAATTCATCATTCGAACTCTGAAGCGTTCGAAGTTAGAGTCGTTCAAAGTACGTGATATCACTAAATTCGTATTTTGACGGCTGGATGGACGAACGATCAAGATGGCAGCCTACCGCACTGGGAACCGGGGATCAAATCCGTAACGATGGTGGTCCGTCCGGATATGTCGGGTCCCGTCCCTCACCATCCGGCCGCCACAATGTGGGCCTGGCCGAATCCATAATGTGAAAGCCCATTATGGATTCGGCCTCAGGTCCTCTTAGTACTCACAGGGCGGAAGAAAAAATTAAAAAGAACTAAATTCGTATATATGTATATCAAAATATTATTATTAATTTGTGCACTTTCCAAAATTACTTTTATCTTCAGTTTATAATTTAATTTGTTTTTAAAGTTTAAATTTCCTATTTTTTTTTTAAACTGAAAAAATATCTATGGATATATGCGCGCAGACGCGAACACTCGTTTATCGTCAGGATTGTTATCGACTACCAGAGGGCGTAGTTGAAACGGTCATCATTATCTGTTGTTAGATTCGCGTTGTTTAATGCGTTCGAGTTAAAACAAAAAATGGACAGAGGATCTTCGGATATAATTTTGTTGGCCGGAAATTCTCATCCGGAGTTGGCTCATCAAATTGCCACGTAAGTGTTGATGTCTTCTTCGTTGTAAAAAGCGCGCGCGGTCGAACCAGATCTGCCAATACGATTCCAGTGAAATTGTGTTTACTTCGTAATTTACGCGTTTTCTATTCGTAATTGTCTCGTTATCTTTCTTATATTGGTATAAGACAGTTTCCGGCATTTTTTTTCTTCATTATTTAATTCCAATTTAGAGTACAATCGTTATTTTTGTCGACAAAGTACCTACAGTACGTTATTGTCCGTCGATTCGAATATTCCTTTGACTGAATTTAGTCAATGTATAATTTCAATGTTTTTTTTTTTTTTTTTTTTTTTAAAAACGTTGAGAACATTTGGTCCCAGGCGAACGGTTGTCGATCTCNTTTTTTTTTTTTTTTTTTTTTTTTTTTTTTGTATTAAAAACGTTGAGAACATTTGGTCCCAGGCGAACGGTTGTCGATCTCTGCCATCTTGAATTAATCGCTTTTTACTCCACTCGGTTACTATATAAGTACGAAAACTTCGTAATCGCTAACTGATCGACTATCGATGTGATAGACATATTCACGAAATATGTTTCTGGCCGGCGAGTGATTCGATTTTAAAACACGTGGTGAAGTCAGTCACGTGGCGTGCGATTTGTGTTGCTTACCTGTCTGATTTCTCGCTTGTTAATACATATATATTAAATTCTACTAATAAATTTTGGACTAATCGAATTTCTATTTTATATTTTTTTTAAAAAAAAGTATCTTTCGTCTTAAATTTGTTCAACAATAAAATAAACTCTAAATTTTTTCGAAGTAAATAAACACTTCAACTTCTAGTCGTGTTTAACTTGTCACTTGCAAAATTTCGGATGAAGTAGTTTTCTGGATCGTCTTTAATCTGTCAAAACGTATCGATTATAAATTTGTTTTCTATTTCAAATTAGTTGTTATATGATTGCTCTATTATCGTTATTATTATTCTTTTTTTAATATAGAAATACATTTTTTTAAGCAGTCAACTTAAACATGTGTCGACCGTATTCGACAATTTATTAAAAAAGGGAATGTTTTCGCTTAGCGTGTACTTCAATCTGTTATCTTGGAAAATTGCATGACCCTCCACAAAATGTTTTGGAGAGCCCTTTTTCACTTGGTGCAGATCCAGGAGAAAATCTCGAGACAATCTTTAACGAATTCGGACACGTAAATACAACCTATGATATTTGGTGGGCCCCGTTTATATATATTAATAAATATAATTTTGTTTGTAGTTTTTGTTTATTTCTAACCAGCTGACGTACCTGGCTGTGTTCGGCTTATCTTAAGAAAATATTATTAAACGGGTTAAAAAAAATGCTTATACTTATGGTCTTATTAGTTGGCAACTATATACGTCAAATAAAGCAATTATTCAACTTATATAGTAGCCAATTATTCTGTTAACAAAATATACTTTTTTATTCATGAATCTTTGTATCCTATTTTACAGAAATATTTTTAAAGATAAAAAACTTTTATTTCTACTTCCTGCCCTGTTTTATTTTATATGAATGATATTTAATGGAGAAAGAACTTTGGTATCAGAGTTTACAGGAAAGGGACCTTTTGGTCTACATGATTCTAGATTTAAAATTTGCTTTCATGTATTTTCATAAGTAATATTGACTAGTTTCAATTCATGATCAGATGATATAAATGCACTTAATGTTGTAGGATTTTTGCTGTTTTCTTTTTCTAAATGATGGGTTATAACTGTACTCACTCTTTCCAAATTTTTTGTAATTTCTTCTATACTGTTTTGTCACATTCATCTGGTTCTGGTTTATTGTCATAATAGTTTTTTAGCCATTGTCAATTTTAAAAATCTGTCTAGTTTTGGTAGTTTTTTAATTTTTTTTCACAGTTTTCTCTTTTGAAAACCACTTAAGTATTTTTGCTTATAATTCATTTTAAATTCTGTGACATAAAAATAATAGAAATACCAAGTTCTCAGGCATCAGAAAAAGTATAAATGTTTTCATATACAGTGGTGCCTCGTATAACGTACTTAATCCGCTCCAGGTGCATATCCGTTATGTGAAACGCATTTTCCCGTAGAAATACATGTTAAAACATATAATTTGTTCCGCAGCATAAAATAACCTTACTGTACCATAAAAAAAAATGAAAATGGAGCAGTCACCAATTATGCTGGGTAGTCAGATGTTGTGGGGAGGAGGTGGAGGAACACTTTCTTCACACATTCATACAGATACAGACTTTTTACACATTGCAGCATGTCTCTTTTTATTGTTTTTTAATCGGAGTCAGATTCAGGAGAGGCTACCAGAGCTTGCAGGGTCAACTCCTCTTGTTCCATCCTTTGTTTTTTGGCAGCTGGCTTTTTGAAAAACATGTCCAAGATGGTCTGTTTCTCTCTCTTCTTCAACATTTGTTGAAAATGACGGCAAGGGTGTCATTGTAGAGATCATTGATCCTGGTGGTCTCAGCTCTGTTTGGATAATGAGTGTTGTAAACTCCTGAACCTCTACCCATATGACAAGGAAGTTTTTGTCAACTTTCACTCCTGATGATTTCTTGCTTTGTTTTAATTGAAATCACCTTTCTGTTTTTTTAGAAGTCATGATTTGCACAACACTTGAATAAATGTAAATACCCTGCACTGAGGTGATGTACGTAATAAACAAGGGAGCAAGCCGAATCCCAACGGGAGCTCTGTATTTCAGATATACTAATAATATATTCTAATAATACTGTACTAATATATTATAAAAATAGCAGATTGTCATTGGCAACAGCAAAAGAGTGGAAACATCATTTGCACTTGTTTGCAGCCAGTCCATTGCTCGAGTCACGTAACGGCCAAACAGAAAGTTCGTTATTTGCAGTGTCCGTTATTTGAGGCACCACTGTAACTATTATTAATAATATTAATACCACTTGTTTTTCAGAATGCAGCAAACTGTTTTACTTTTCAATAACTTTCTCTGTTTCAGTTTACATAATTCAAAATAAATGACAGTTGAAAATTTGTCAAATCTGAATTTAAATCATTCTGGATGCATTCAGTTGACAAGCACTTTACTTTTGTTACTAATAAATGTCAGTCAAAATCTACCAGATTTTGTGCTCAGTGTGCTGGCCACATGGATGAATTATTAATCATTTATCAATTTTGAAAATTTTGGATCATCAGATAGAAATTGTAAATGAAAATAATAATTATATTCAAAATAATTATTCATGCATTTTTGTTTATTTATATTTTCTACAAAGAAATTAACTAGAACTTTTTTTTTACTTAAAATTGCTTCACAATCTTCTGGTTGACTGCTCACCTTTTATTCAGGGGGTGTTCAACTATTTTTATATATATCATGTTAGATGTTATGTATTTAGAATTTGTGTATTAAGATTTGTGCAGGTAGTTTGCTATTTGCTCTTTTGCAGTGGATGTTGTATATATGGTTGCCATTTTACTTTATTGGGTCAGGATGACACTGTCCCTACTGTGACCTTTGACACTCAACTGTGACATTCTGATCATGTATTGGAAAGGGAGTGAGAGTTGGATTTTTTTATGAAGTGTTCTAAATCATTGTATTCAGATCATTTCTTTGTTCTTATATTTGTGTCTAATCAACATGCAATAAACATATTTATCATCAGCTACATAAATAAGCAGTTTTCAAACTTTATTTTTTACATAGAGTTTTGTGTTAAATCTTACATGTGCTTTATTATCAATGTAAAGATGTCTTCCAATTGTGGGTCCCCACATTGTCTTGGGTCTGTGAGCTGTGAGGTCCATTGTTACAGCCTTGCTTCAAGCATTGTCAATCATTTCAATCAATACAATAAGTAAAACAGACATACATAATAAACTTTTGAATTTATTTGAATATTTTTTACATGATTTTAGCATTTTCAAAATAAATATGAAATATTTTTATATACAGTTAAATAAACTAAATTAAAAATTTTTAAAGGTATTTTGCAGAAGTAGAAACTTAATTTATCATATAATTCCAAATTTCACAAAATATAAAGATGAATGGTACTGCAGTTATACAGTTTAATTAATATATATTCTGCCAAAAATAAGATTTTTAACTTCATTTCAGTCAAGATTATACTTCATTTGCAATTGAATGTCTGTTTCAATTTTTTTGTTTTTTGTTGACAGCTTCAAAATTAAATAAAATATTCATTTTGTTTTTAATAGTATTTTATGAATGCTCCAGTTTTTGTTCAAATCTGTCTGATATTTATCATTTGTATATTATCTGCACAGAGAAGAAAATAATGTATATGATTTAAATGAAAGTTTATATACAAAGTATAAAATTTATAAATAAACTGTCCTACAATAGCTATAGGAAAAATAATGTCTCGTTTCTTAATGACATTAACATAAATTGAGGGAATAATGTGTTTTTAATTTTATTATTTAAATAGTGGCTTTTCATAACTTTTGTTTGTTATTTAATACTAGCAGACCCCGCCATGTATTATTGTGGCTCAAAATACATCTATTATAAATGTATAACACTTCCCCCGTGGGGGGGAATTTTTCGAAAATCCCTTCTTAGTGTACATTCTCTTGATGTACCCTATTAAAACTCAAAAAAAAGCATTTAAAATAGTATAAATAGAAGCAGAGTTCTTTACGGTAAGCCTTAATCCTGTCCATCTCCCCTCAGTGGGGGGAATTTTGACATGTATATTATATAAAAACATGTGTGTATTCAAATGCAGCATTGTGTCAAAATTTCAAAGGAAACAGTAGAAACAAACAAACATTACATTTTTATTTATTTATATAGATAGATAGATAGATGATAGATGATCTGCTTTAGTTCATTCTCACAGAAAAGCAAACTTAGGTCGTCGTACTTGTAGCGCCATCTGTTGGACATAAAAGCCTTAATCCTAGATGATATCTTTTAATTTATATGAATGTTTAACCGTATAATAAACAGCCTATGTCCACCCCGAGGTTCCATTCTAAATATTGGTGAAAGAATTTTT